GTCCCCCGCCAGGCTGCAGAGGGGGGAGCAGAAAAGTTGGGGTTTTTTTGGGGGGTGCAGGTCCCCCCCAAAACTTTCAAGCGCCGAGTCAGAGCCAACCCCCCCAAATAAACTACATCGGGTCGGTTCTCTCCCCCCCTCCCGGCACAGGAGCTGCCCCTGGGGGGGAGGGGAGATTCTGCCCCCCCATGCCGGCTGGGGGCAGTTTTCAGCCTGCAGAGGGGGGAGCAGAAAAGTTGGGGTTTTTTTGGGGGGTGCAGGTCCCCCCCAAAACTTTCAAGCGCCGAGTCAGAGCCAACCCCCCCAAATAAACTACATCGGGTCGGTTCTCTCCCCCCCTCCCGGCACAGGAGCTGCCCCTGGGGGGGAGGGGAGATTCTGCCCCCCCATGCCGGCTGGGGGCAGTTTTCAGCACCCCTGGATCCTCAGGGGCAGCTTTGGGGGGAGGGGGTGCAACTCACCTGTAAGGACACCAAAAGATTCACCTCCCTGTTCTTGGGGTCCAAGGATCCATCCATGTGCGGAATCATTTTTTTTATGTGCACCCAGGCAGGGGCATGACCAGGACAAACAGAGCCTGGCAGAGGCAGCCTGCTGATCAGCTGGGCCGCATTGGAATCTCTTCTGAGCCCCCGCCCAAACGCCCAGCTTCCAGGGAACATCTCTGGCGCAGCAGGGGGTTGCTAACTTCCCGACGAGAGGCCATTCCCAGCAATGCTGTCGGGTCTGTCTGGTCAGGAAGCTGGAGGCTCTAAGTAGCAAGTTGAAAACAAACAGAAGGAAGTTTTTCTCCAGTCAACCTGTGGAACTCCTCGCCAGAGGATGTGGTGAAGACCGGGACTTTAACAGGGTTCAAAAAAGAGCTAGATAGATTCATGGAGGTTAGGTCCATCGATGGCGATTAGCCAGGGTGGGTAGGCATGGTGTCCCCACCCTCTGTCAGGGGCTGGGAATGGGCGACAGGAGAGATCGCGTGATGTTTCCCTGTTCTGTTCCCTCCCTCTGGGGCACCTGGCATTGGCCACTGTCGGCCGACAGGCCACTGGGCTAGATGGACCTTTAGTCTGGCCGTTCCTACGTTCTTATGTGCACCGGCAAAGGGAGACGTAGATGCCTTTGAGACGGTTTGTGACATGGACTAAGCCAGGGGTTGGCAACATCCAACACGCGTGCCGTAAGTAGCACACAAGATGATTTTCAGTGACATGCATAATGAACAGGCTCTCCCCCACTCCCGCCCATGGGGAGCCCTCGCTGGCGATCCCGAATTGCAGCCCCCCCCACCCCGCAAGAGTGGAGCCAGTGCCAGCTTGCTGGGAGAGGGAAAGCCCTGAGGCACCAGCTGGCTGGGAAGTGTGTGCTGTACTCCCCACCCCACCGCAATGCACGGTCTGCCTTATCCGCCCCACCGTCCCCCTCGCTCCAGGAAGGCCAGACACAGGAGCTGCACAGCCTCCCCTTCCGGGGAGCCCTAGGCAGAAGATCAGGTGGGGCAGGGGGTGGAGAGAGCCACTCCCCAGAGAGCAGCACAGGAGGGTACATTGGGGCACGCCCAGTGCTTTTTTTGTTAAAAAAAAAAAAGTGCCCGTACTCCAGAGGAAAAGTTGTTGAGGAAAAAAAAAAAAGGAGGGTGGGGCCAGCATTGCCCTTTTAAGACAAGCAGCCCCTTTAAGACCTGTTGAACACTTGCCTACAGAGAGGTGCGGGTATGCTCCGTTCTTTATGCTGGGCAGTACCATCACAAAAAAAGCACTGGGCACACCGCTTCAGAAAGGGGGCCGCCCCCTGCCCGGAACCCACCGTGTGGGGGTCCTCTTTGAGCTCCAGGGAGGAGGATGGGGCACAAGACCCCCTTGTAACGGATGGTCCGTCCCCACCGGAAGGCAGCCCGTGCAGCCAGACCAGGCAGACGCGGCGAGTGTCCTCACACACTCGCACCAGGCTGGGGTCAGAGGTTGGGGTGCAGGCTCTGGTCTTGGGCTAAGGGGTTCGGAGTGTGGGTGGGGCTCCAGGCTCAGCCCAGAGTGGGGGATTGGGGTCCAGGAGGAGTATCAGGGGGGCAGCTCTGGGAAGGAGTTTGGGGGCAGGGGGACTCCCGTCTGGGGCAGGAGGTTGGGTGCGGGGGGCGGGGTTCAAGGCTGGGACAGGGGTTCAGGAAGCAGGCTCTGGCTGGGCAGCGTTGAACTAAGACGGTTTGCTTTAACAGGTGTGTTGCGAGAAGTTGTTCTTTCGCTCTGCTCCGCGCTGGTGAGGCCTCAGTTGGGGGATTGCGTCCAGTTCTGGGCACCGCATTTCAAGAAAGATGTGGAGAAACTGGCGAGGGTCCAGAGAAGAGCGACAAGAATGATGAAAGGTCTAGAGAACAGGACCTA